TTACTTCTCAGTTGGGTTTTGTGGGACAGGTAGACATGTAGAAGTAGGGAAGCAAAATCCAGACAGAGATCTAGCATCTTCTGTTAAGTAAATATATTTGTACTCTGTTCCTTTAAAGAGTTTAACTCTATAATACACTAACTAATGTTCCAAAGTAGTGACATAGGTAGGGAGAGACATGAAACCTCCAGTATCTCTCCTAATTTTATTACATTCGGAGTTAATTCCATTTCATTCCAAACAACAGTGTTTTAATTAGTTAACATTAATAGGATTTCTGGACTACTATGTAGCCAATTTGCAAGATTTTGAAAAAGCACCTCCTTCCTCTAGGTCCAGGTGGCAAAAAGATTTTATCTCATGTGCCAGCTCCAGAGATTGACTGACGTGTTAGGAATCATGAAGTTGTCTCAGGGATTAGCAGGCAAGACTATTGTCAATAATTCAGGCAAGAATTCTGTGTTTGCCAACCTCATGACAGAGACTGCAGCCTTCTCTCCCCGGGGTGGGTTATGAAATGTTAGTGGGAGTCTATTAGACAGTGAAGAATGTGGGCACTCTAGGCAGGGGAAACAGCGTGTGCTAAAGCTGGAACCTGTACTGGGGTGTGGGCTGTTTGGAAAATAGCTACGCAGATAGGACTTTGAATAAAGTTTACTAGGAAAGGCCTTGGATGAGAAAAGTCAGGATGCTGAGCATAACTGTAAAGTCAATAAAGGTCATGAGTATTTATTGGGCACGACTACAGCAAATTTTAGGCACGATAAACTCTCTTGGGCATGGTTAAAAAGAAATGGATACTTTGGTGAAGTAACATTTCCATAAATACATCACACATGCATTACCAATTTCTAAACACTTAAATGCTCACAAACCCATCTCTTACTACTGTAAGAAATTCTATAATCTGACCTAGACACAGATGTGAATTCATGGAACTAATCTCAATTTTTTCATATATATAATAGACTTTACTTTTTAGAGAAGTTTTAGGTTTACAGAAAAATTGCACAGGAAGTTGAGCCAGTTACCATACACTCTCTCCCACACACCATTTCCCCTATTATTAACATCTTGCCTCACTGTGGTACACCTGTTAGGATTGATGAGTCAATATTCACACATTATTATTAAAGTCCATGGTTTTCATTAGGGCTCACTCTTTGTCTTGCACTATGGGTTTTGACAAATGCATAACGCCCTGTGTCTACCATTACGAAATCATACAGAATAGTTTCACTGCCTTAAAAATCCCATCTCCCATCTATCCATCCCTCCTTTTCTCTCTCTGAACTGTTGGCAACCGCTGATCTTCTTACTGTCTCTAGTTTTGCCTTTTCCAGAATGTCATTTGTTGGAATCATATAGTATGTGGCTCTTTCAGATTGGTTTCTTTCATTTAGCAATATGCATTTAGGGTTCCTCTATGTCCTTTTGTAGCTTGATAGCTCATTTTTTTCATCACTGAATAGTACTCCATTGTATGGATGTACCACAGTTTGTTTATTCATTCACCTATTAAAGGACACCTTGGTTGTTCCAATTAGGGGAAATTAAGAATAAAGCTAATATAAACATTAGTGTGCAGGTTTTTCTGTGGACATAAGTCTTTATTCATTTGAGTAAATACCTAGAAGTGCATTGCTGTATCATTTGATAAGCCCGTGGTTACCTTTGTAAGAAACTGCCAGACTGTCTTCCAAAGTGGCTATACCATTTTGCATTCCCACCTGCAATGAATGAGAGTTTCTGTTCATTGTTTTACGTTCTCTCCAGCGTTTGTTGTTAGTATTTTTTATTTTAGCCATTCTAATAAGTATATATAGAGATATCTTATTGTTTTAATTTGCAATTCTCTATTGCAAATATATTACAATATTTCAAGATATTGAATATCTTCTCCAGATGTTATCTTCTTTAATAAGGTTATCTGTTAAGATATTTTGCCTATTTTGTAGTTGGGTTGTTTATTTTATTATTTTGGATGTTAAGAGTTCTTAGTATATTTTGGGTACAAGTCCTTTATCAGGCATGTGTCTTGCAAATACATTTTTTCTGACCTGTGGCTTGTCTTTTAATTCTCCTAATAGTGTCTTTCTCAGAGGAAAAGATTTTTGTTTTAATTAAGTCAACTTTATCAATTTTCCCTTTTCTTTGTTAGGTTTATACCTAAGGATTTTATTGTGATGGTGATTGTTTTTATTTTGTTTTATTAGCACTAATGTAAATAGTCTTGTGTTTTTGATTTCAAATTATGACTGTTCATTGCTAGCATACAGGAAAGCTATTGATTTTTGTGTACTAATCTTTTTTCCTGAAACCTTGCTATAATCACTTATTTTAAAAAACCAGAAGTGTTTTTGTCAATTTTTTGAGATTTTATACATAGACAGTCATACCATTTGTGAACAAAGATAGTTTTATTTATTCCTTCCCAATATACATACCTTTTATTTCTTATTCATGTCTATTGCGTTATCTAGGACTTCCATTGTGATATTGAATAGGAATGGTAAGAAGGGACATCCTTGTTTTGTTCCTGATCTGAGGGAGAAAGCATTTAGTTTCTCACCATTAAATATGATATTACCATAGGCTTTTTTATAGATGTTATTTACCCCTATAGATGTTATTTATTAGAGGAAATTCCCCTCTATTTCTACTTTTTATCATGAATCAGTGTTGAATTTTGTCAAATGCTTTTTCTGCATTTATTGACATGTTCATATTTTTCTTTAGACTATTGATACTATGAATTATATTAACTGATTTTGGAATATTAAACCAGCTTTGCATACCTGGAATAAATTTCTCTTGGTTGTGGGGTATAATTATTTTTATGCATTTGTTGGATTCAATTTGCTAATTTTTTGTTGAGGATTTTTGCACCTGTGTTCATGAGAGATATTGGTCTCTAACTTTCCTTCAGAGTTATATTTTTACCTGATTTAGTATTAGGTAATGCTGGCCTCATAGAATGAGTTAGGAAGTGTTCCCTATGCTTCTATTTTCTGGAAAAGACTGTAGAGAATGATGTCATATCTTCTTTGTATATTTGACAGAATTTACTAGTAAAACTATCTGGGCCTGGAGTTTTCTGCTTTGGAAAGTTATTAATTTTTTATTTAATTTTTAATAAATATAGGCCTATCAGATTATATATTTTTTCCTTATGTGAACTTTGGCCAAAGATATTTTGAAGTGTTATTTTCATTGGGATCAAGTATAGATTCAAGATGATGATTACTATGAGTTAATAAAATCATAAAGAAGTCCTTGCAATTTAGGAGTTAGAAAAAAATTATTTTTGTTACTGGTAAAGGTTCTAATAAATTCCACTGCAAAACTAAATTGTAGATTTGATTACTGAAAAAAGCATAGAATTCATTTTAGACTGACAATGCCAAACAGCAACAAATGAACAAAACATCAACAGCAGTTAAATGCTTTTCATATTTGACAATTTCTTTTTGGAATCAGAGAGCATTTTTTCTCAATATTTCAAAGGAAGTGTTAAAGTGAAAGCATTTTAAAAACTAAAACAGTTTATTTGCAAAGGCTCAAGAGAGTCAGACTTCAGAAAGACTGGCTCACCAAATGAAAAATATAACAGACATTTAAAGAAAAATATAAATAAAATTGCCATAATTACTAAGTTTGCATTAGTTTGTTCATGGTGAAAAAAAATAAAATCTTATCACATGATTATTATATCCAGAAAGGTGTGACATAACTAGCAACATCAGCTATTTAGAAGTCAAGAATAAAATTATGCTTTCTGGAAGTCTGGGGATATAAGAAATGCTCAATGCTTCATTATTTGGGGACCAAAAATGGACAGGGTGACCCTGTTATATTTGGTTAATCTTCAAATACAAAGTGTTTCATCATGATGTAAACAGGGCATAGCATCTGCTTTGTTTCCAGAAGCATAAAGCACATGCCATTACTACAAGATATAGGTAGGATATAACTCTTTCATTGTTATAAGCAAATAAAAACCCAAAGTAGAATCCTTGACTCTCATCTACTGTGATTTCTATGCATTTTCATCAGTCTTTCCTGGTGTACTATTCTGAGCTATATTCTTTTACTTGACAACTTTTCACATAAATGAAGACAGCTATTATATTCTCCACACCATCCTGATGTTGGCAAATGGTGGATTCTTGACCATCATATATCTAACATTCATAATATTAATAATGTGTGGCCTAAATACTCACTGTGGTAGTTACAGAAACTCCTGTGAAATAATTTTTAAGTTGTTTCTTGTAAAAGAAAGCCTGTTACTAATAATGATGGAAATTAAGAGAAAATATAGATGTTTAAGAAAGTGACGATTCTCAGTGACAAATATGATTTATGAAACAAATGACTAAAATCCTGAATCTTTTGTGTGTCCAGGTTCAGGATTTCTCTATTTCTCTCTCTGGTTACTGTTGTAGCTTCTTCTTTTCCCTTTCCTTTTCCTTCCTTCCTTCTTTCCTTTCTTCTTCCTTCCTTAATTATTCCTTTCTTTCTTTTTTTTAATTTCAAAAAGGAATGAGGGGAAAGGGGAAAACCTATACATACAAGCCCATACATGTACCCACTACTTCATCTTCTTAAAAAGATTTTAAATTCTGATTCTTACACTTAGTAGGTTCACTGTCCTTCCTTAAAGATTCAGCTATAAGAGATAAATGTCAAAGTTTCCAAATCTCCAAGTCTGACACAGTATCTGATAATTATGAGAGGTACTTGATGCTAGGAGAAACAGAGATCATTACAGTGGCAGGAAAGAAAATTTCCTCGCATAGAATTTTAACAATACATTTAGGATATTTGAAAGGCATTACGCCCATTCAGGTTGTAATTCTTACTAGTTATTAACAATATACTCCTTATCAACATAATTTAGCAGACAAGTATGGTATTTTGAAGGTGCCAGAGGAAAAAAATGACCAAATCCACTCTTAACAATTTATTGATAACATTCTCTCTTTCTTATTTCAAAGGTGTCCTTGAATGGCCATTTTGGACAAAACTGGTTGTGGTGGCCATTGGCTTCACAGGAGGTCTCGTCTTCATGTACGTGCAGTGTAAAGTCTACGTTCAGTTGTGGCGTAGGCTGAAGGCCTACAACCGTGTGATCTTTGTACAGAATTGCCCAGACACTGCCAAAAAACTGGAGAAGAACTTCTCCTGCAATGTAAACACAGACATCAAGGACGCCGTGGTAGTGCCTGTGTCACAGACAGGTACAAATTCACTGCCATCTGCAGAGGGCGGCCCCCCTGAAGTTGTGTCAGTTTGATGGAACCAGTCTGGAGTTTCTTCACCGAAGACTATCTTTCTAGCCCTCGGCCACTACAAGTGACAGAAGTGATCCTGAATTATTCACTTCCTTCAGCTCCTCCTTTCTCCTACTGACGCATTTGTCCTTACTTTGCTCAAAAAGGAAAGGAGAACGCACCAAATGACCAGGATCCCATGAGGTATAGCCTGAAGTGTGATATGGAAATGTGACAATTAAGAACCACTGGAGCAATGGATGCTTTTAGGCAATGGTAATGATTAAATGGACCGTGATGCTCTTCATAGTAGCAGGGGAGAAGTTGAAGATTGCAAACTTGAATCGCAATGTGTATTTCTTCTAGGGCCTTGTAATGTTAACTATCCCATTTGGAAATAACAAACATATTTGGTTTTAAGCCTGAAATTGTCTGCATTATCCCTGAGTCACATTGGAAGCAAACTAGGAGGATGCATATTTTGATATACTTGGACAGCTAACAGATTTTTATGGTTATGGTGGAGTCCAGTTATTTTGACAGATGCATGTTTTTAAAACAGGTGCAATATACATTTGAGGATATTAATGCTCAGAATTGTTTAAATTATGAACGGAAGATTTTCAGAGAATTTTTGTGTTTAAGTAGCTCTGTTAAATACCCACAGGAATCAGCTATCAGGTCCTCTATTTTGTCTGGCCCCTCTAACACAGTTCTGTCCAATAGAAATAGAACATTAGCTACAAATGCAGGCCACATAATGTAAATTTTTAATTTCCTAGTAGTCCCATTAGAAAAAGCCAAAATAAGTGGTGAAATTAATTTTGATAATATTTTTATTTAACACTATATATATATAACTTATTTCAACAGTCATCAATATAAAAAGTTATTGCGATAGGATAGTTTACATCTCGTTTTTGAACAAGTTTTCGAAATCCAAAATTCACTTTGTATTTTACAGCACACCTCAATTTGAATTAACTATATTGGGTAGCACAGCCTCAAAATTAGAGACTAGGCCTCTGCTCTATTTAACAGTTGAATATTTCAAAACAGCAGCTTAATTCATTCTTTTATTTCAAGCCCCACAAATGGTATGATTTTACAAAGCACTAAGTAGTGCTTTGTAATTAAGTATCCTGGTTTAAAGAGTTTAGTATTTTACAAAGTTTAAAGAGTTTAAAGATTTTACAAAGCACTAAATCAAATTAAGTATCCTGGTTTAAAGATGTAGTTCACATTTCTATAAAGGGTTAGGTATAGAACGATAAAGCAATCTACCTGTAGCAAAGTTGTGAAATTAACTTCTGTTTGCTACAATGAAGCACTTAAGGTAGGGGAATAAAAATTAAATATTTTTTGTTATTAAATCAAATGTGTAAGGTTATTGTTTTGTTTTTGTTTTTGTTTTTTTTACCCACACAAGTTGTCAACTTGACAGATAAGTAATTATGACCAAGAATCTAGACGTTATTGTTAAAAGCTGACAGGATTTCCCTTGCTCAGTTGAGAAGCAAAAATATTCAACAGATTCTGTGATAAGTAATAAATTGTTTAGGTTTGACAATTATTATGTTTCTTGCATATTCATGTAAAACTAAAGTGTGAATGATATTACAGTGAGCTAGATTGATTACAGATATAGTAGCCTGTCAAAGAAAGATGTCCTACATAAAAAAGGTGACTTATTTTTGTTAGCTGTCATATTTATTAATGTGAAAGGCAACGATGGCCATAGGAACCAAAGCATGGGTATTGCATTGCACAGATCTGGGTAACACATCGATGCACTTTGTAATTATCAGTGTGTTTGTTGTTCACAGATTATCATAGGAAAAAGGAAAAAAAAATAACCTTTTTATGAGGAGAAAGATGGTATGAATATTAGTAGTGGCTGGCACTGAGTCCAAATAGTCCCAATCCTAGAAATAAAGAAAAGGTAAACAAAGTCAATTTTGTGTGTGTGTGTGGTGTGTGTGTATTCATGTATATACACAAGAAAAATGTTAAGGTATTCAGTCAGGAAACAAAAGGTTTAAAACTCATCTTTCTTAAAACTTGTTAAACGCATAGGGAAAACAAAGTTGAGGCAACTGAATCGAACCAAAAATTTGTACAAATAAAGACATACATGGTGTTTTTAAAAAAATATACGAACCTTAAATAAACTACACTTTGTATTAAAGTCCTTTTAAATTTCTGTTTTAAAGATTTAAGATAAATACATTTATGAATAATAAAGCTTTGGGTGATTTAACCGTGACACCACACCCAAGAGATTAAGCTTGATACAATTTTCCTGTTAATTTTTCTAAGTTTTTTACTAATCCATTTTTCCTGTGGTTCAGCAATGACAACATGCTGTTTACAAATATTCCTGGGGGGAAAATCTAGTCACCAGCAAACAAAGAAATGTTGATTTCTCTTTTGTTTGCTCTAGAAGTAAAAGGACTGTTTACTTTAATAACCATGGAAAATACTGTTTAAATTCTATACAAACCTAAGCAAGATAGATAAGTGCAGAGCTCAGTTCATAGTGGGAGATGATTGGCTAAAATAAAGCCTCGTTTATTAAGAGCTACACTTAACACCAAGAAAACATTTCTAAAATGAAGAGCAAAGATAAGCATTACTGCATTAACGACAAAAGATGACATGGGGTTTTAAAACTACACCTAAATTGTTGAAATTAACTTTTGTGGGCTTTGATTTTATTGAAATGAGAAAACAATATAGCTCCCTAGTAGATTAAAAGTCAATATTTCATTTTGCTATTCTTCTGACCTTTTAAAACCCTGAAGTTCTAAATTTCAATCTTTAAAAAGCTTTCCTGCAATGGCTGTTTATGGTTCAAACATCAAATAACTACATGCATTTAAAACCCAATGTTGATTATTTTCTTTTTACATTCTGGGTGGCAATGGAATATTTGCCATTTCAAACAATGAAAGATTTAGCTTTGTGGTAGTGCTTTATGTGAACTGATACACTCCTCAGAAGGGAAACTGCACTGTAAAGTGCCAATTTTTTGAGGCATGTTTATCTGCTCATGTAAGAAATAAAATGGAATTGAAACAAAGGACTAAAATTGAAGAATGAACTTACAGTTCTATTCAAAATCTTGGCTTTTTATCATCATGAATCTGTGATATTATCAATACCATAAACCACAGATATTAATGCTATTAATTTTTTAACTAAAGAACTGTGACTTTTATTGTACAGGATGAAAGATTAAATTGTAAAAGAATGAAATTCCACCTTGAAATGAAAAAACAAAACAAAGTGATCCCAAGAACCTGGGATAAAGCAATGCATAAAGGAAGGAAGGAAGGTATATATTGAAGAAGTCTTTCAAAATGCCCCAGCATTAAATCGCACATTGAGCTGCTGTTATATGTGACTACAGTCCCACAGAAATGGCCTCATAGTTGTATCTTATCTTGTTTTACAAAAGGTCATTCGGTACCCTTTAAAATATCTATTCCTTTGCTGGAAAGGTAGCTGCGTCACAGAGGGAAACCAATGAAAGTAATCTATACAGACTTTCAAAACCTGTTAAAAAAAAAAGTTTAAGACGTCATTAAGAGAAATTATAAGGGTCTTGGGGCTGAGGTGGGAAGATTATTCCATCTGCCCCACATAATTTACCCTTCTTTGCTTTGAAAATGAGTATTTTGGAACAAAGTAGAGCTTTTAAAAGTTATTGTCATCATTATTATTACAGTTGTTATATAATACTTTAATTAAGAAAGATGAAAACCTTTTTTCTTTCCTTAAATCAGCCCAATGGTGCTATTTTACATGTCGATACAGTTGAAAGGAAGTACTGTTATTTTGGGCTGCAGTGTTTCCTCCACATTGAAGAAAGCCCATTTTGAAATTGGATATTGCATTAAAACTAAGAAGAAAAATTATTTTAACTGTGTGCAATTTTTGAAATTGGACATTTGTACATCTTTGGTTTTACCTAATTCTCTTGCATTAACAATTTACTGTTTTGTGAATAATGTGTGCTAAGACAAATTAAGAAAAAATTATGTGTGAAAGACTTTGTATATTAAATAAGTGACCCAAACCTTGGTTGTGGTTTCTATACTTTTTGCCTAACATACTGGGATTCCTGCAGATTTTTATCTGAATCATTCAAACACTGGGATATTTTTGATTTAAGATTTTACAAGGGTCTGACTGTATTTGTAATTATTTTAAAACAAACATCCATTGACTAACCTATAACATTGTAAAAAGGAATAAATAGGTGCATTACAGAGGAAAACCAATGAAAATAATCTATACAGAATTTCAAAAACTGTTTAAAACGTTTAAGAAAAATCACAATGTAATCTTAAAAAGGATTTTCTCAAGAATAAGGCTTGAATATAGAAAAGTAATAATATAACAGCGTTTTTCTGCTCAGAGCTAAGAGTGGATTCAGACAATCGCATGGATAATCAACATTAAGAGAAAGACATTGAAATCTATTTCTAAGGGGTTTGGCAATAGCAAAGAAAATGTCCCTTTCCAGATGCCCAACATCTAAGTCTAAATTTAGGGTAGGACTGCCTGGCCCAGGGCACCGACAGGTCTTTCCACTAGTTTGCTAATAACATGAGCTCCTTTTTCTGCTCAAATTGGATATCTGACCTTATTACCTTTCCCCATCACCCAAAAGTAAACACTCCTAGATCACTAATCACTGTCATTGTGCGTTCAACTAATGACATTGAACAATTACTATTAATAGGTGCTGTAATAGAGATTATCAAGAGTAGCAAGGGTGTGGGCATAGAGATACTTTAGATAGAGAAGTAACTTTTAAGCTCAGAGCTAAAGTTGAGAGAACAATCAGTAGGGCTTGTGAAAATTCAGGGGAATGGCAATGCAGGCAGAGTGAACAGTAGGTACCAAAAGCCTGAATGGTAAATGCCAGGCAAGGCTGACAGATTCAGCCAGTAAAGAAACAAGCCACCATCAGAATCAGTTATTAGTCATCCTTCCATGTCCTTTAGGGGCTTGGTTCCAGGACCCCTATGGATACCCAAATACAAGGATGCTCAAGTCCCTGATATAAAAATAGGGTAGTATTTGCATATAACCAAGGCACAACCTCCCGTACACTTAAAGTCACCTCTAGATTGTTTATAATACCTAATACAATGTAAATGCTATGGAAATTGTTATACTGTATTGTTTAGAGAATAAGGACAAGAAAAAGTCAGTACACGTTCAGTACAGGTACAGCTTTTTTTCTGAATATTTTCTATCTGTGGATGGTTGAATCCAAGGATGTGGAACCCTCGGATATGTAGGGCCAACGATACTTACATAGACAGTAAAATACAAACATAAAGGTGCCACCTCCCCGTATGTCTTGTTCCACAGCAACACAAATGGAAAAGGGGCCAGAGGACATGATAATGCCACAGAGGGGTAGGGCACCCTGCTGCTGGGATGCCAATTCCACGTTGTGTCTACGTACAGTAGTTTTATAGCCTGCAGCTATACCCTAAGGGCACTTGAGTGGAGTCTCATAATTCATCAGAACCCAGGAGGTAATGACAAACTCACTGTACCCTCCCTGAAAGACAGGGAGGCACCTGGTATCCTTCTTATCTTCATGTTCCAGGGAGATCACAGGACATTGTTCCAAGGCTCAGGTCAGCTGCCGCAAAACCTTGCCTAAGTGGACTAAGTGGACAAACACAAGGTCATCAGAGTGCTGGCAAGAGGAGCAAGAAAGGTGGCAGGACGGCCAGTTAGGAAGCCACTGCACCTAGGACAGGCAAGACATGGTGCTTAGGTAAGGCTGAAAAGCAGAGACAGCTTGACATGGAGTGATTTGACTTTCATTTTGGAAGTGGATCCAGAAATACTTGTTAATTAAATTAGATTAGGAGACAGCATGGGAGAGAGAATGTGGAGGATCAAAAACAGTTTATAGGCAGATTTCTGGCTTGAGAAATTAGGTGAAAAACTTGGGGGAGAATCAAGGTTACTGACAATAGGGAATGGGGACCAGAACATAAGTTGGAGTATTTGCCTGTGAAAGGAGAAAAAGATACTATATCCATTAAAAGAGAAGAAAAATGATAGTTTTTATTTTCTCAAAGATGTATAAAAAGCCAGCAGTTAAATATTGAGGAGGGTAGTATTCAAGATGAGCTAGAAAATATGAAAAAGTAGTAATTATCTCAAAGTTAGAAACAGAACTACTAGAGAAACATGGTAAGACTGCTAAACAGTATAGAGAATCCACTTTAGATTTGTTGGCATGAATGTGAAGATGGCCTGTGTGGGCATGGGAACAGGCATGAAGGAAACAGGTAATAGCTGAGTGTTACTGAGTGTGGGCTTTAAAAGAAAACTTTGCAGAGTCACAGGCAAAGGAATTGAGGATGTTGCAAGGAAGCAACTAGGAACCTGAAGCTGAGCTGAACAAAACACAACCCGAAGACAGGAAACAATGAGGTGTAATGAGAGTGAAGTCAAAGTACAGAACTTTAGTAAAGGAGAGGGTTAGGAGATAGTGAATGGAGAGTGGAATTCTCACAATCAAATCTACAGAAAGTTTCAGCTGCTAAGGATCCAGGTGTGACCATTGAGAAGCCTGTGATGGGATGTAGGAAAAGTTTAGGAAACTTAAAGGTCATGGTGTTGCATTTGTTATCCATAAGGAATCACTAAAATGACTGCTATGGAGAAGAAAACTAAGCCAGGAGCTACAGCTACAGTATTTAACCAGTGAGCAAAATGTCCTTCTGGGAGGGAAGATAATAAGGAAAAGGAGAAAATGACAGAACTTCCAATACCTACAGGAGAAGTTATTTTGAAGTGGCAGTAGAACAAAGAGGACACCCTACCACAATCTCCTGCCCCTGAAGCATATGGGATAGAAGAATAGAAAAAGTTTCTGGCCGGGCCTGGTGGCTCATGCCTGCCTAGCACTCTGGGAGGCCGAGGCTGGGGGATCGCTAAAGATCAGGAGTTCTAGACTAGCCTGAGCAAGAGCGAGACCCCGTCTCTCTACTAAAAATAGAAAGAAATTATCAGGATACTAAGAAATATATATAGAAAAACTTAGCTGGGCATGATGGCACATGACTGTAGTCCCAGCTACTCGGGAAGCTGAAGCAGGATTGTGTAAGCCCAGGAGTTTAAGGTTGCTGTGAGCTAGGCTGATGCCACAAGCTAGACTGCCTGGGCAACAGAGCAAAACTCTGTCTCCAAAGAAAGAAAAAGCTTCTATTGAGGTGAACAGGGTCCTAAAGGGATACTTCTGTCAGAAAGGCAAGGAAACAACTAGAATATTAGGAAAAAAGACCAGACATGAGCTGCTCTGAAGTTAGAAATGTATCATTAACCTATGTCTCAAGTTCAGCTCATTGGTTTATACCAGGAGTATTCAAACTATGACAAGCAAGTCAATCCTGCCCTCTGTGGACTAGTTTGTATGGTTACAGACTAAGAATGGTTTTTACATTTTTAAAGGGTGGTAAAACACACAGACACACACACGCACGGCACACGCACACAGACACAAATATGCAACAGGAACTACATTTGGCCTGCAACACCTAATAAGTTACTATAGCTTACACAGAAGTGCCAAAAAAGTTCCCTTTACTTTGTTCCATGGCCATGGGCTGTAGAAGCTGTCTTACAAAAATATGCTACTGATTTGAAAGTGGTCTAGATGAAGGGAGTACAACTTATTACCACAGAAAAAACATGTTCTACAGACAAGGATGAAGGGTATAATTTTAAAGGGTATAATTATAAATTTCACTCTCCAGACAAGTTATCTCTTCGGCTACTTTGGTCCAGCTAGGAGTAACATGACATTGATTGCCATAGTCGTAAAGGATAAAGTAAATCCATTCTTAAACAAATATTTATCTATCTGTTCTAGTTCTCAGCAGTGTATCTTGTTAAGTTAAATTTTTTGCTTTGACAGCACAGGGGAAACTAGGAACAAATGTTTGAGGGGGAGGACAATCTGCCAATTTCACAAGTTATTCATCTAACAGTATGGGCTTTAAAGTATCAGTCCAGATAAAACAGTTCCTATTCTCTTCACTGTAACTTGTGACTCAGTTTTTACAGCCACTTTAAGACTAAATATGAACAAGAGAGAGAGAAGGAAACTTTTCAATGACTAAAGAGATATTAACTTATTATGTAATCATTAAACCACACTTTTACATGGATTACTAAAGCTAATCAGCATCAGGCACATTACTGAAAGTGAAATAATTAGAACCATAACAAGTAAAATTATGGAAATAATTTTATTTTTAACTTTCGAAAGTAAAATAGTTACAGTTGAAGTTTAAACTGTAAACAAGATGTAGCTGATACCTGTTAACCTCATACAGCATTGCTTTCTTTTCTTGAAAATACTCACACATTTGCATTGCATCCTTTGGAAAATAGGATATTTTCATTTAACAAGTTCTGTGAAGAACACAATTCTACAACACTCATGTTTTTCATGATACTTGAAATATTGAGTTAAATGTCATCCTATCTCTTCGAAGAAAAAATAACATAATTAAAATCATTGATTCTCTAATCTTTAGTTCTGTCTCCACAAATAAAACTTAAGACTTTTCACAATAAGAAAGCAGAAAATAATATACATTCAAAAGGAACTAAAACTTGATATTATCTATCCCCTTTGCAAAAGATAACAGATTAAGTGTGGGAGATCAATAATCACTTTTAAATTGTTTTTACCATTTAACTCTGGCTCATAAAATAATAATGTATAATCCATCAGTGTATACAAATTCCATATCACATTTTTCCCTATCTTATAATAAAAGAAAATAGGCTTAATGTTTAAGAGGAGAATTAGTGTGACATAACTGCTGAAAGACAATTTTGCTATGGTCACAGCTCCAGAAGTATCCACAAGAACCTTTCAGAAAACAGGTTACTGTCCATTTCCCAAAATGTGAGATTACATAATCCTAGAAACACGTGAGGAAAAAAATTAAAACACTTTTTGCCCTCACTCATATTTCTCCCACCCCCAAAATTCATATTAAATAATTTTTACAGATCACTTCTATTTTAGCAA